ATCTCGAGGCAAAAGACAAATTCGGTTTCGGCTGTTAAGTCGTCAGTCAAAGCTTCGCAAGACTTTTTTTTCTCCCTCTTTTGCTCTCTCTTTGGTTGTTTCTCTCCCTCGCGCTGCTTCATTTCCATGGATGTGGTATTGTGAGGGCCGCTTACATGCCTTTCAAACAATAACYGTTCACCCCCCACCCCCTCCACCARGGGTTTCCTCCCTGCCAGAACCCTCCTCATGCCAGCACATCCTTTAGAGAACCTTGAACCAACAACAAACCAAAGCGTTTTCACTGCAGTGGAAAAAAAAAACAGGCCTACGTGTAATTAAAGTACGTCTAATAGTGTTATGTGTTTCTCTGGGGGGAGGGGGGGGGCAGCTATTTCCAGATCAGAAAAGAACCTGAACAGAGGAGAAAAGAAGCAAACAGTGTTTGAGTATTATTATTCATCTTCTGTTACTTTTGTTGATATTTAAACTGAAATCTCACAACCTGGAGAAGAGAAGAACCAACCCTCAGGTGGGAGTATCCATCTCAMTATCCAGACTTCTGATACTAAGATAAGTATCGATATCAGATCAAGATCGATTCATTTGCACCACAGACTTTATTTGTCCCTGGGTTACTGGAAACAGAATCACTTTCAGTTTAAATAATGATGTGAGATGGATGCAGATGTGAGTAATCCTGAGCAGGACAAAGAAAAAGACCAAAACAAGAGAAAATGATGCTTCTCTGTCCCCCCCCCCCTTTTTTTGGGGGGGGGGGGTGTCAAAAACTGTTTTTATTAGTGGCAAAAATTATGCATGACATTTTATTGTAACACCTCATTGTTTGGTTCATAAAAAGGTTTGGAGCTCAATGGAAATCCTGCATTTAACTTTGTGGTTTGCCGGTTTTAATGTTTACATTTGWAGGCTATTCTTGCAAATATTTGTGGTTTTCACAGTTTAAAAAATAATTTTTCTACTCAYTTTTTTTCTGTGTGATTTTAGGTCTGCTGTGTTGATACTGTAGGTCATAAGTAAAATAAATCAGTCATGGGAGGCTGTGCTGAACAAAATGCCTCCAAACATGGCAGGTTAAACCATTTTAAAGGTGAAATATGAGGGTAAAATCAGCAGAGTTGTAAAGTAACTAAGGACAAATACTTTGTTACTGTACTTAAGTAGAATTTTTAGGTATCTGTACTTTACTTGAGTAATTATTTTTCAGCCTACTTTTTACTTCTACTTACATTTCCACACAATTATCTGTATTTTAGACTTTTACTCAAGTAATATTCCTAAAGGAGACTTTTACTTTTACCAAAGTAACTTTTTGGTAAGATATTTGTACTTTTACTCAAGTATCACTTTGTGGTACTATTCAACACTGAAAATCAGAAATACTCAAAAACATCCATCTTCATTCAAAGGGTTAATACAAAACAGTTTTATTTGTCAAAAATCTTTGTTCTGTTTTATCAGAATCGACTAACTAAAGGCAAAAATAAATTATTCAATGAACATGACAAGTATTGGTATCAYATCGATACTAAAACTCCTGCTTCTCAGAATATCAGCTGTTTAAATTCACTCAGTATTTTACTCAGAGCTTTCTGTCTGGATGCTAACTGTAAACGATGCAGCCAGTCCAAAGCAAACCTGAAGCTCCGTAAAACCAACACAGCTCCATGTCTTCTGTCCATCACCCTGACAACGAGGCGTCTAATCTGAACGTCTGTAAAACGTCAGCGGTCGGCGCCGCCACTGCRGCTCGCAGCGAGAGCGGGAGGAGAAAATGAAAGAGGCGATCAAACGGCAAGCATCAGAGCTGTCATTGGAGCCTGCAGAATGCAAAGTGTTATCATCTGAACCCGAGCCTCTGCCTCGCCGTCCTTCCCACGGGCAAAGTTAGCCTTTCAACTCGACACAAAAACACAACAATAACCACGCCGACAACAACTTCACAGGTGGTGGAGGAGCATTAGGGCAGCATGAGAATAATGTCTGGCTGCTGACGGTGGGATATGTTAAACATGCTGTCAATTATTTTCTATTTGCATCTTGACGTGTTCTGGTCAAACCTTGTAAATAACGGCATGTGACCTCGTGTTCTTTCTGAACGCACGTGCTGAGGAGAACTTTCAGCTACCACAACAAGTTTTAGCTGAAAATCTGCTAAAGTTGCTTCATTTATTTGTATTTGACAATGTGGCTTAGCTGTGGCGTCCATATTGGATGAGGTTAACAGTTGTAAAGGTGCAATCACAAACTTTAACACCCTTGTTTAGTTATAATTCGTCTCTTTCATGTTCTTTCTGCTGCACGTCTGCAGGCTTATTGTTGGTATTTTATTGTGCAGTGGAGTCCTTGTCATGAAAGACCGTCTAAATGACAACTCATTGTAGCCGTTGTCAGAGCAGGAAGCTTATGGCATCTTTGAAACGCTGAACACAGCGGCGCTATTGTCACAATAAAGAGGAGGTGTAAGGATGTGCGGAGAGAATACCCAGAAGCCTCTCTGTCAGAGAAGATGAAAGGGCCCCACCAAACCAAATCACTTTATCAGCCCAAACAGCCTCTCTTTTTGTCCGACGCCTCCCAGACGTCGGCTGCTGAGATGTCACACCGCTAATTGAGAGCCACAATAAGGACCTTGTTTGGACCGCTCCATCGATTGTGCATGGCGGCTGTAATCACCCAAATAATTTGGCTCCCTGAAACATCAAATGGCGGCGTGGAAGCTGCAGGAATTTGCATCGCAGCCTTTGATCTGGGGAAATTTCCACAAAGCAGGCTCTGGCTCTGCAAACGGTGTGAAGGTGACACCGCCCTGCCCTCCGCTCGGCTGCCTGCCTCTGCGGCTGCCGGCTCGCCCGCCTCTGCTGCTGGAAGTATTTTGGCTACAGAGGCYACAGAGAGACACAAATCATGCATTAAAGACAAATATCGCCCAGCMCCGGCCTCTGGCTTTGTTTGTCTTTTAGACAAAATGCAGACAGATGTTCCGGCCGCTGAGGAGTAACCGTCTTGTTGATGGTGGCAAACATYAAAAAAGGCTTTTAGCTGAGATATGGATCTTGTTTTTCACCGTCTAACTGACTCAAGAGTATTTTCCATCCACAAGAGAAGCTTCAAAATATGAGTTCCATCACTGAATTAAAGGCCCAGCATTCATTGAAGGGATGCATATCACCTGCCACCTCTCTGACTGAGACCATCTTCAGCTGCAGCTCAGTTGTTAAAGGGCCAATATCATGTGTTTCTCAGGCATACATTTAAATACCATACCATCATAAAGTATCTATGTCACCTTTAGTTGTTKTTAAAATGCTGTTTTTATGTTTAAATAGAAAATAAACTTATCTCCTCATCACTTCCTCTGCCAAACGCTTTGAAATTGGCCTCTGTCTCTTTAAGAACCGCCTTCCACTTATGTTTTGCTTATTTCTGTAGTGGTGGTGGTTGGTGGTGGTAGTGGGGGTGGGGGGGGGCTGCTGCCATGGCAGTTTACTTGGCATCTGAAAATGCATTTCATCAAACGTATTTTTAATCTGAAAAGATCTTATCTTAGTGAGAACTAATGTTGAGAGCTCAGCAGACAGTTAGGTTTCACTTTCATTTTGACCCAAGAGCCTGCAGGAGTCATGGGCGGGGTGTGTGGGGTGGGGGAGGGGTTGTGCTCTGCCATGAGGAAGTTCAGCTTAAAGACACGTCCCAGGGGCATTTCTGGTACCTAAAAGTGTTTCTGGTCCCCACCTGTTGTTTTGCTCCTCAGCATGGCTTCATAAAAATCCTGCAGGTTTTCTCAAACATGAATGAATGAGTCAAAGCAAGGCTTTGGTCATGTTTTTTAGGCGAGTATAACATTATAACATGATATAAAACTCAAAAAAGTTGATTTTACATAATTTGGCCCCTTTAAATCAATCTTTGTGTTTTTAAGGAATCTTGAAAAAAGCTCGACTTAAACGTTGATCTGTTGTTGGTTCTTCTAAGTTACAATTATTAGATTAAATCTGTGTTTTTACCAATAATCATGCTTGAAATGCTTTCAGCTGTAATGCAGGTAAACACAGATCAGATGATTGTCTCATGCGTGTTTGAAGGTCTCTGTAATGACCCAGTTGGTTCTGTTTGTGTCTCACCGGTCCCTCTGAGACCCCCAGCTCACCTTCTGTCTTTTTTGGTCCATCTGTGAAACCGTCCCCTGCACTCTGTGGGGAGCTGTTTGGAGTTTGAGGATTTTTTTAAATTCATGACATATTTTGTGACCTTTTAGGACATTTTCATTTCCTGTGGGCAGCAACATTAAAGCCTGCCTCCAGCATATTTTTCCTGTTACGCTCTCCCAATAGCATCTTTCAGCATTCAGATCAAGAATGTATCTCTCACATGTCATCTTGTTTATAACACAGATTTTAAGAAGAAAATGTAAACTTTGTGGTGATATTTTCAGCCTTCTCGCTCCTGATGTCTGATAACTACTGATAACTAGAACGTCGCTTCAAACGCGACTGCTCTATCAACTCTTAAAGCATTAAAAATGCTGCACCTCCTCCCCGCAGCAGATGAAATATGAAATAAATTGTCCATGCGCCTCATCTGCATTCCCTCTCTGCTTCCCACCAAGGAGGACCACTTGACCCTCATTTCCCATCAGTTTCAGTGAGCGACCCGGTCCTTTCCTCTCGTGTCTCAGTGGTCCGCTCTGTGAGATCTGAACGCTCCCTCATCCCCGCGCGCTGACGTCTAATCAACAGGAATTAACCCTGGCCTTTCTGCACGGGCCGCCCAGCTGGGAGATGATGGAGACATCACTGTGCCTTTTTTTATTTTAGCTTTTGTCATCTGGACTCTTCCCTAATGGTGTTCTGACAACGAATTGTGATTAACCAACACCCGGGTAGGAGACCCCCGATGCCTCTGTGCCAACTGGGTGGGCGTGATAAGACTTATTGAGACAGGGTTTTGTGTGGTGAAAGACTGTGTGAGGAAATGTGTGCCGCTGAGGTGAGACACACCTTGTTTTGGGTGTTTGAATTCCATTTCTTTCTCCTTGCAGCGAAGATAACGCGCCTTTGGGCCAATCCTTGGGCTGCGTCTTTGGTCTCGCTCCAATCTCGCTATCGGACCGTAGGCAGGCCTGGAAAACAAACAGGCACAAGATGCATCTATGCYCTCTTTGTTCCAGACAAAGGTATTTGCATAACAGAGTATTTCAGGCAGATGGAGTTTTGGAAACGGTGCTATAATCTTGAGCGGAATGATTCAAGTGTCAGTCAGTCTCCCTAGTGAAAGCAGGCTGCTTGAAGCCTTGGATGCAAAAATAGTATAAGAGATATAATATAGGACACCTCTGCTCTAACTCGCCAGCTGACCCTTGGCACTTTGAAGAAAAACGTCTACATCAAATGCTGAATTATCCATTCTAATGCCTGGAAACAATCTTTGGACAATGACACATCAATCAAACTTCGCCTGAACCGGGGGTGGTTGTTTATATAAACGCTGTCCATCTGGGGGAGAGATCTCAGCAACGTTACATCTCTCTATCTGTGGCAGAAAAAAGAAAAAAAAAGGAAGAAAGTTCATAGAAAAACTTAAAATTCAGCTTTTTTTCTCGTCTTTTTTCCCCCTCAAATCCCAGCGTGAATGTGTCGGCGAGCTCGTGGTATGCATCAAGATGAAAAGTGGAGGCCATCCCTTTGAAATCCTCCTCAAGTCAAAATTACCATTTCACTTCAACTGCAGCCAGGAAACGGAGAGCGGGGCCACTGCTAACTGCTCTGGGCACAGCGTTATTTATTGTGTGTAAACTTTGGAGGAACATTGTTGCCTGGGAAAATGTGTTGTGTGGGTGGTGGAAGTGAACAGTTGGAGCAACCACAAAGGGAGAGATCAGGCCTATTTTCTCTGTAGGAGGAACACATAAAAGTGAAAATAATGCCCATTATTACAGAAAAACAACACCGGCCTGCTTTGCTCATAATTTTCTAACAGCAGAGACGTTAACGCCTCAGCTAAACAACCCAACAGTTGACCCTGTTTAGGCAACTTCATTATCATTTTCTCTGCTCTTTTAATTAGTGAGCTCTGTGTTAAATGAGCTATTATCTATGTTGGAACTAACTGCTGTACTTTTTCTTTTCATAGTGGTCAAATTAAGCCTGCTGGATTTTTTTTTCATATACTTGGGTTTAATAACCTCRCTGCTGTGGGAGATGATCGTACCTYAACTGATTTGATGTTTTTATATGCAGCTTTTCTTGCACCTCTGCTGAAAGGAAATACATTCAGATTTGTGGCTTTAAGCCACCAGAACAGACCTCAGATATTTTAAATCAGTTTGAATTTTGAACTTTATTTTGTGTTTTAGAAAGTTTCGAAGGAAGTCTTCCATATTCTCAAACATACATCTTTGTTAATATAAATGTTTATTCTTAGAATTAAGAACATTTCCTGTCCTGCTGTGTTTCTGTATGTTGGGGGACACACACGAGTGCATGTCAAGTCAAACTTTATTTCTAAAACACATTTCATMCTTACAGCAGACTGATGTGATTCCAGTGTGAGGATTTTTTTTATATATATAAAAATAGATAAAACCAGAAGCAGACCTGCTGAGGTTTTATTGAGATGAAATCTGTGTTTAAACTATTTGAAGGATTTGGTCTCATTTTCAGTTCTGGACTTGGATTTTGCTGCAGGACTTCAYTGTTTTAGGGTGTATTCACAGCGGACACYTTCGGTCCACTTTAAACGGACCAGAGTTCCTTTCCCCRYTTGGTCCGGACCTTTTGCAGGTGTGAACCCTGGAGTAGATCAAACAAACGGTTCTCGGTCCGCTTCCAAACAAACTCTGGTGCAGTTTGCTTCTGGTGTGAAAAGGAAACATGCACCTTTTTGGACTTTACGAGCCACCGTTGCTAATCATCATGATAACAATTAGCCTTTCAATGTTGCTAARGKTAACACTGCTACAATGAGCTGTTGTGGGTCAGGGCACACAGAGCATCTCGTCTCCTTTAGGTTGCAGCACACATTATTTAATTAGAAATAGATCATCTCAAAACCACCTTTGAATGAGCTGCTCTTGATTAACAGAACCGTCTTTATGTCTGGGTCTGTGTTCTGTCCCGCCCCCATAATTCCTGCCCAATGGGAGCAATGATTGTCACCGCAGCGGCGTGGCTTTGTTTATAAATTATAGCCCACTTGCAAAAGAGCACAAATGAAAAAAATAATAAATTCTGCTTTTGGTCTGGACCAAACAAATGGACCAAAGGATTTTCCTGGTGTTAATACAGCCTTAAATTAGATTTAACCCTTTTCTAAAACTGAAATTCCTGCTCATTTTATTATTATTATTTCTGTATTTTTGAGTATTTTGAGACTAAAGCAGAAGTAACAGAAGATTTTAAGAAAACATTAAAGGGGCAGTAAGTCATTGTTAAAGTTATTTTCTGTASTTAGCACCTTATTAGAACACTGAGTTTGGAGAAAAAGGCAGAAGTTTTCCTCCAGGCTAGGTTGTTAGCTAAAGAGRTCAGTTTTCTATTGCTTTTCTCAGATTTATTTTTTTACTGTGTCCTGTCCAGCAGTGTGAAAGTCAGAATTAATGTGAGTGCCAAGCTGAGACCCAATAATGACTTTCACCATGATGCTCCACTTGATACAGTATATATTTAAACTTTATTAGAMATTCTTTTGGGWTTATTTCAATATAATAGACAAAGAGACAGAAAAGAAACWAGAAAAGAAAAGGAGAAAAATGAAGKAAGAGATTAAAAGGGAAAGAAGGAGATAATAGGAAAGAAAGAACACAAAACAACACATTTGTAGTCTGCCTGCACACCTGTAAAAAGAAAGAAAAGAAATAGAAAACACACAACAACAAACATGTGCATTTAAATAAATAATTATAGCCTCACTGAAAAGTACAAGGTATAACTTTATTTAAAAAAATGTAAGGAAGCCATGCTGAGGAGCAAAACGACTTTTGGTACCAGAAATGACTTTTGGTACCAGAAACYCCACTGGGACGTTTCTTTAAGTCAAACTTCCTCATGGCAGAGTGCACCCCCTCCCCACATCCCATCCCCCATGACTCCTGCAGGCTCTCGGGTTAAAGTGAAAGTGAAACCTAACTGTCTGCTGAGCTCTCAACATTAGTTCTCACTCAGTGAAGCTCTTTTCAGATTAAAAATACCTTTGAGGAAATGTATTTTCAGATGCCAAATAAACTGCATCATAGCGCATGCGCAAACCCCGCCTTGCACGAGCCCCCTGCGTACGAACCCCCCCCCACCACCAAATGGGATGGGATAGAAGCAGAAGGTGGTTCTTAAAGAGACAGAGGCCAATTTCAAGGCGTTTAGAAGAGGAAGTGATGAGAAGATAAGTTTATTTTCTATTTAAACATAAAAACAGCATTTTAAAAACAGATAAAGGTGACATAGATACTTTATTATGGTGTAGTATTTAAAAGAGGAAATGATGAGAAGATAAGTTTATTTTCTATTTAAACATAAAAACAGCATTTTAAAAACAGATAAAGGTGACATAGATACTTTATTATGGTYTAGTATTTAAATGTATGCCTGAAAAACACATAATATATGCCCTTTAATGAATGCATTTTTCATTATTACTTTCCTTTTTGAAATGACTCTTCACAGAAAACGTGACGTACATCAGGACATTATTGTTGTGATCTGACATGTTCAGTAGAGATTAGTAATCTTTTCCCTCATCCTGATATTTTCCAGAACTTAAAGCTCAAACGCATGTTTGTAAATAAAGTTAAACATTAAATGCATTGTTAGAAAACATGATTCATCCCAGAGTTTGTTCTTACTCTCAGTTTTCAGAGAACTTATAGGAAAGGGTGTGGATGGAGCCTAATTAATTCCTAAACAGCTTGACTTTGTTGAACGTGTTCTCGTCTCACGGAGGAGTACATCTAATCCTAAACATATGGCTGAAGCCAGGAATTCATGCATGACYGCACTAAATAAATAAATAAATAAATAATAACACTGCCTTTGTCTTTTGTTCACCCACAAGTATTCATTTCTGCTTTTTAACATCTCCTCTCAGACATGCACAGCTTCCAAAGATAATGATTCAGGTTTATTGACTTAACATTTGAACTTGCTGTATCTCACTTATTACTCAGTTTTTTTCCTCCTGAGCTCATGGTTCAGGGTACTAAAAAATACCGGCGAAAATATAAAACAATGCAAGAAATARAGAAAAACCTACAGCTTATTATTTTCCATGAAGTTATGTAAAAGTGACAGGAGAAACATCTGGGGCTTCTTAGGTTTGTGTGGATAAAAAAAGTACATTGTGTCATAATTTAAAACTTACTACAGCAAAATAAAGCTCCTTCAGGATAAACGAACCAGATGTAGATTCAGGAAAAGGGGTTTAGTTTAGTCCCGGTCCTGGAACTTTGGAACAGATCTTCATCCTTACAGAGTTGATGCAGGATCCTGGGTGCTGACTATCCAGTCCATGTGGGTCTGTAGACCATGGAACCTAGTGTGCCTGGTCACCATTAGGATCTCTGGTCCCTGTAGAACCAAAGCAGGAGCCTTTTCTACATTAAGGCACCGGGTTGAGGTGGTTCCTGGTGCAGGATAGTCCTGTTGTGTTCATCATATCAAAGAGAAAAGAGTCTAGCTTTGAAAGGTCAGTTTCATTACGATTATGTGCTTTTTGTTGGCGTGTTAGCCAAATGCTTCCTCTGAGTGCAGGGTGAACTCCAGCAGTCCCAGTATCCTCAGTGATTGGTTTACGACCAACAGACTGGGACTTCATCTTTTCTATTCAGGGCATTGCTTCAGTCTGTCATGGTGACAAGACAAGACTCTTGATCCAAAGGTCCGTCTGCAGTCCTCCTAGACTTATGATCCAAAGGCGGATCATAAATGAGCACACTCCTGAAGTCTTTACTTCACTTTTTGATTCTGCCTCTTTAGATTATAACATCATTAATGTGGAATCATATGTTTCACGTTTTAATACTCATTGTATAAACATTTTAGACACTATAGCACCTGTAAAACAGAGCACTGCAGCGCACAACCTGTCCTTGGATTAATAAGGAAATCGTTAGCTTGAGGAGAGTTTGCCGTA